TTTCCTAGATTTTTGCAGGCCAGTACATCTTCTAGTTCAGCTCTGTCATTGAGAACCCTAAGGAATTACAACTAAACATGAGAAAATTCCTAGTGCAAAGTCCCCTGTGAGCCATCCATGTGAATGAGAAGAATAAATGTTGGCGGAATGATTTTCACTTAGATCAATTCACTCTGGCTGTTATCTGAAGGTTAGTGAGTAAGGAGTGGGCGACCCAGAATGTGGTCTATAGGGGCAAAGATTGCAATCTGTCCTTTGCCTTGTCGTGTTTAATAATTTTATATAATTACTTTGGAAAAAGATACAGGCAATGCTTACTAAAATTGAAAATGATACCAACATGTTCTACGAGAGGATCTAAAAAGATTTTTCCCCATCAGAAAAATGGCTAAATTAAAATGTGAAAAAATTATAATAATTGCTAAAACTCACATATAGTTAGTATACACCAGCCTCCTTTCTGAGTACTTTATAGAGTATTACTTTGTATAATCCTCACAATAACCTTATGCAGTAGGTTGTGTATCACTCATATCAACTACCGCTAGAGATTATGTAGCATAGAGGTATACGTTGTGGAAACTTGAATCAACCTGCCTAGGTAAAAACCTAGCACTGTAGCAAAACAACACTCTGTATGAACTTGAGAAAATTACTTATTCTCTCTGCGCATCTCAGTGTCCTCATCGGTAAAAAGCAGAATTTATTTATTTATTTATTTATTTTGAGACAGAGTGTTGCTCTGTCGCTAAGGCTGGAGTGCAGTGGCACGATCTTGGCTCACTGCAAGCTCCACCTCCTGGATTCATGCCATTCTCCTGCCTCAGCCTCCCAAGTAGCTGGGACTACAGGCACCCACCACCACGCCTGGCTAATTTTTTGTATTTTTAGTAGAGATGGGGTTTCACCATGTTAGCCAGGATGGTCTCCATCTCCTGACCTCATGATCTGCCTGCCTCGACCTCCCAAAGTGCTGGGATTACAGGTATGAATCACCACGCCCGGCTGACAAGCTTTTTTTTCAAATATTGGATGCTATGTTGCCCAGGCTTTTCTTGAACTCCTAGCCTCAAGCAATCCTCCTGCCTCAGACTCCTAAGTAGCTGGTATTACAGTTCTGAGCTACCACACCTCACTCAACAAACATTTATCAAATACCTACTACAGGGGTATCACTTAGTCCCTACTTTCAAGGAATTCACCACTTTCTGAGGATGAGTGACATGTTCAACTAAACAAAAGCCATTTTTCAGGGCTATAAAGTGCCAATGCTTCACTCTTATGTATAAAAAGCGTAAGCTGTTTCAGATAAATATTCTTTACCGTATTGAGAAAATATTTTGTATTACTAGTTTACTACATTTTAAAATACAGAAATAAGTGTTTAAATGTCTTAAGTATAATTTAAGTACGTATTGCAATGATTATTTTTCCTTCTTTGACCTTTTTGTATGCTAAATTATATAGTAAGACATTTCCCTATACTAAAATAACCTTGCATTTTTGAAACAATACTAATTAACCATAGCATAGTATCCTCTTAATATGTTGGATTCCAGTTGCTAATAGTATATCAAAGATTTTTTTCATTTATGTTTATAAGTAAAACTAACCCTTCAAACTAACCTTTTCTACAAGCTTTTAAAATCCAAGAGCTTGTTGCTTGCCAATATAATTAACTAGCAATGATTAATTGATTCTACCAAAACTGATCAGGAGATAGAAGATAAAACCACAAATATAAATTGTAAATGAGAAATGGGATATAACGATGGAAGCATAAATTGCAAAACAAATTGTGACACTTCAAGTGAAATTTTAAAATTAAATCATTAGCATAACTGAAAACGTATATATTTCTACTCTCTACCCATTTTTAAAAATTTTCTCAAGTGCTCTTAAAAATCAGTAAGAGGTGGCTGAGTGCAGTGGCTCTCGCCTATAATCCTAGCACTTTGGGAGGCCAAAGCAAAAGGATTGCTTAAGGCCAGGAATTCCAGACCAGCCTGGGCAACATAGCGAGACTCCATCTCTACAAAAAGTAAAAATAAAAATTAGCTGTGCATGGCGGTGCACAGCTGTAGTCCCAGCTACTCAGGAGGCCGAGGCAGGAGGATTGCTTGAGCCCAGGAGTTTGAGGTTACAGTGAGCTATAATTGCACCACTGTACTCCAACCTGGGCAATGGAGCAAGACAATCTCTTTAAAATTAAAAAAAAAAAAAAAATCAGTAAGAGGGATTTTTGTTATACTTTTTTAAAAGCACTATTTTGACTTATTCTCTATAATAAAGTACATTGAGTATGCCAATTTGCAGATTAACTAGTTACACGGATTATAAGAAATGTTTGCTAATTTTGGCTTTCTAAAGAAAATTTTAGCTTTGGTTTGAAACTTTGGCAAATGAATGAGAGAATTTATATGTGCCTTTAGCTATGGCCAGATGTGTTAATTTAATTCTTGTTTTCTTCTGAAAGATTTTCCATTTTTTGAAGAGTTCAAATTCCACACAAATAGGCAAATTTATGAGCATAGAGTTATATTCTTAAGAATTACAGAACTATTTTCCCAGTCTCCTGTTTTATGAAGTGTTAAAGTTAATATAAATTGATTTCAAAGATGTGTCTTCTACATAAAAAGACATTCGAAGTGGAATTTTAAAAAACTGAAATATAACATTCTCCTGCAATTTAACCTCATATTTATTTTATTAAAGAAAAAACATAAATTTGTGTGGCATTTTCCTAAGTTCAAAACAAGGGCAGAATTTACTAAGCCATTCCTAATGTGTTCTCCTAAAGCAAACTTTGTGCTTAGTTTTTCTGAAAGTTATCATGTTTCAATGCAAATTTTCTTGCATTTCTATGAAATCTGCACTTTGCAAGAGATTTATTCATTGACTTCTAGTTACTCAATCTTGCAAGAACTTTCCTATAAAAAATTGAAGGTACTGTTGTGTTGGGTAGGAGTAGGCTGCACCTCTACCAAAGTGATTCACAAAGTTAAAAAAAAAAAATCACTTAAGATGGAGAAAGAAATAAAGAATAAATTTCTCTGAGAATAAATAATTGCTGTTGTCCCCAGAGTACTAACAGCATAGGTCAGCTTTCTTTAGAAAGTTTTCAAAAGGGCTCCTCAAATGTGAAGTCAGTAATAGAATTGAATGCTGCCAACTGCACCCTTGAAGCTAAGCAGTAATGACACGCACCATCATGATACAGAAATGGTCAAATACATTAACTTAATGATGGACCAATGGACGCCCCCTCCCCCAAGAAATGTGATTATATTGTGCAAGCTCTTGAATAAATGTTAGATCTTACACCACTGTGTTGCTATTACTTTGTTCCCCCTCAAAGACCTTTTGAAGTGTTCAAAGCAAAAGATGAGAGAAGACATGTGCTGCCCAAAATCACAAAAGCGATTTGCTAAAATAAACCAGCTTTGTGCCCTCAAAAACCTCTCCTTTTTTTTTTTTAATTGAAAGCAGTGTCCACTGGTCTCCAAAGGGCCTATAAAAACAAAATATTCAAGTCTGAAGGACACCAACAGGCAGAAATAGGCAAGGTAATTCCAGTCTCACATGTCGGTTTCAAAAGCAAATAACCCTGCAGCTCAGGTCAATGCTAGATTATGTTCATGTCCAGATTTTCAGCTACCAAATTAACTATGCCTATATAGAAATAGTGCACTTTCAGAAGAAAATGCTTATGCTAATGCCTTAGGTGGAAAGAGAAAAATGCAAAATTTTATATCTTTGCCCCAATAATACATATGGAGGCAAGAAATGCACACAGACAAGGACTGGAAAGGTACATAGACAAGCCAAAAGGATGACTTCTTAGAACAGCAGTGCTGTGGATGATTGTTTCTTCTTTTCTTTAAAAACTTGATTAAAGTATTTTATGATTTTTTTAATTAAGAGTCAAAGCTAGAGTTCATAAATTGCCAGGCCACAGGCCAAATCTGGCCCATAACTACTTGGAACAAAAGTCATTAACATTTAACATTTAGGAGATTATCACCTGAATATCTGAATCTGTAGCTTCTCAGGAAAAATTGGAAAATGCAGAAAAATTGGGTCCATCGTCCCATGTGAGCTCAACCAGCTTGATCTATGAGGGGGACATCTGGCCTTTAAGAATTGGGTGCAGTTGCCGTACTCAAATAAATTCCTGCCTGTGGACCCTGGCATGTGTGAACACTGGCGAAGACAGCTGGATTTGGAGAGCTACCGTGACTCCATCTACATTTATGAAACTTCTCCTTTCTTCTTTTTACATCTTTACCTTTTGGATACCTCTTCAGTGATTAAATTACAGAATGTCTATATCCACTTTCAGAAGTTACATAATCTGTGAATCTACATAGTACAATACAAACTTGGCAATGAACTCACTAAACAGAAGCAGCCAATCCTGATACTACTACTACCAATAATAATACAATAAAAATACTTAGGTGACTGAGTTTTCAAATTAGTCAACTTTTACTAAGCAAATAATACACTTAAAAAATTAAATTTAGAATTAGAACATCTCAGTATTCTATTCACAAAGACTTTCATGGAAATCAAACCAAAGTAGGATAATAAGAAGCTGGATATATATTCAATTTATCTTTGCTCTCCCTGCCTTTTTTAAAAAAATATAATTATACTTTATGTTCTAGAGTACATGTGCACAATGTGCAGGTTTGTTACATATGTATACATGCCTTTTTTAAGCCTAAGCTAATGGATATGTTTGTGTTTGTTAAGCAAGACACATGGTACTAAATGAGCCCACTGAAAGAAGCATGATATATGTTGATCATTTCTAGTGTTCAAGATCATTGCTATGCCACTAAAAATAGCAAGCCACCATAAATTTAAATATAAAATGTCCAAGTACACATACAGATACATGCGCATTTCACAGTATTCTAACAGTGTTGTTGCTGCTGTTTTTTATTTTTTTTTAATTGGCACCCATCATGGTCTTTTAAAGGGTCAATTCTTACCTTGTTAATGGCCCCAGATCGCCTGAGTCTTGGCTTCCAGCTTCACTGGGAGTGCTCACTGATTTCGAGGAGGGAGACATAGGGGTTGGGACTAAATAATGAAAATAACAGGTATCCCATGTTAAAAAATGCAGTGGCTGCACTGGTGAAGAGCAGTGTCAGACAAATCAAAACAAATGGGCCCAAATTAAAGTGGTTGTATGGCCAGGAGACATTGAGATGGGATTAAAAAAAAAAAAAGGAAAGAAAAGGAAAAAAGTCCAGTGAATTTTTTGTATTTTGGAAATTAAAATTTGAAATGATTTAGACAGAATTAACATAGGGATTCTGAGGCCATGTCCACCCTAACAAAGTAAAATGGAGAATCAAAATAGCTATCCAGATAATTCAAGTCAAATATCTCTCTAGCATGAACCATCCAGATAATTTTGATTCTTCACATTATTTTGTTAGTATAGATGTGACCTATTAAAAATAAAACAGGGTGTCTATAAAACCTTAAAATATTATTAAATAAGTGATTCTGAATAATTTTAAATGGTCAAGGACAGTCAGAAAAATCTGTTGTATGTCTGCATTTCGAGGGAAATGTGCTCTATGGAATAAAAGCTGCATTTGCCATGAGAGCCTAAGTGACAGATAGAGAAAGGGTAAATGTTGAACCTGGTAATTAAAAAGTCTCTTTCAAAACAAAGAAAAATGCCAGGCTGCTTTATTTTTACATTTAATTAATAGTTGCATTCCATTGTACTGTTTACTGTCTTTGGGACTCATTTTGCCTTGCCTCCAGCAGCTCTAGAAGACACTGCCATGTGCACAGAAGTAAACTGCCACTCTGAAGACAGGAGACAAGTTCAAAGATCGAGGTCGGCACAATCTGAAAATCCGACAGCAAGCATAACAAAAGAAAAAAGCTAAAGCCAATGCAATTTTTTCCCCCTTCCTTCAGATACAAGCCCAAGGTCCTTCAGAAAGAAGCTGCACCAAATAGCCAGGATGGCTCCAGGCCAGGCAATTCAATGGGTTCTCAATATCACATATGCCAAAGAAGCCATATGGATAGAAAGAAACGTCAGTACATAAGTGTAGATTCCCATTTGGTTTCAATCATGTGCAATTTCCTTTTATTTATTTAATAGGGTAAAGGGCTTAACTATTTTGCCCAAATCCTATAACACAATGGCAGATCTGTCAAGGAGCTAGGAATTTTCATGTGGTCCCACAATTAATTCACTGATTACCCTCTGAGTAAGTTCAGAGGGTAAGTCAGAGAGGTGACTGAAAAATGAAAATGGGGCCCTTGCCAGGGTCCCTTGGCAGTAATGCAGGGATACTTCAAAAGTTGGTCATGGTTTAGAGATGTTAATCTGTTTTGTTCTTAAAGTTTAATTACTGGCTTTACATAGGGTAGGGGAGACTAGGACATACTATTATTGTGTTTAACCAGTGTTCACAATGCAACAGAATTTCAAAGGCTACTTTGAGGCACAAATATAATTGATTGCAAGGTGTCTAACTCATATCCGATGTCAACTAAGTAGAAAAAAAAGTGTCTCAGCTCCTAAGTAGAAAAGAAGGGCCATCAGTCAAATATAATATCCCCTAGGTTACGTCTTCCACAACATAAATAAATTAAACAAAAGAATCTAATCTTATTGGGGCTTATTATAGCATTGTTGAACATACTATTTTACCTATTACAAATTGAGATTGAGTATAAAATGCTTATTAATAGTGTTTTAGTTTTGTATGTATTAAATTACATCCAGCAATACTTAATAATTTGTAAGCTTATTATATATTGTTATTTTCATTATTCATATTGATATAAACATTTGCCATTTTGTTGTACATGGAATACTTTTTATTCTTAGTTTAAGTAATTACGGAAATAAATGATAATTTATTTTAATATAAAAGTCAATTATGGAATTAACTTCAGAAGAAAGTATTCTAAACAAAAGACCTGAATATTATATTTATTTTTATGTATTCTTTTAAAAGGGTTTTTAACTATACTGGATATAATGCAGTTTTATAGACACCCTAGGATTAATCTTAAATGTATGGAAAACAAAAGGATAAAAGAAAAATAAAACTATTACCTGAGAGATATATAGGTAAGTGACAGAATAAACAAAATATGCACAAGTAACCTTCAACACAAAGAAAACAAGTAATTCAATATCCAAGCTTTAGTGATAAAATGAGGTCACAGACAATCAACTAGGAATGAATGAATTAGAGGAGAAGCATTGCAGTGAAAATGCCAATTAGTAATCAAATCAAAATACAATAAAGTCAAATTAATTTAAACTTGTTAATCGGCTGCTAATCCACCACCATTTTGTTTTCCTTCAAATTTCCCACTGTGCCTTCTATTTTCATCATGGACTAACTCTATGCCTGTGGTAGTTATGAAATTCATAACCAGATCCATAGTATTTAGATTGGCAAAGAGGCGCTGGAATTCAGCAATGAAAACAAAGAACAATTTAATAAGATATTCCAAGATTTCTTATGTTTACCAAGTGGCAACTCATTTAACAAGTATAAAATAATCTACTAGTAACACAGTGGAGAAGGTTGACCATCTAATCAGTCAATAAGCAGCAAACTACTGACAATTCTACAACCTTGCCTCCCACCTCCTTCCCGCCCCCTCAATTCCAAAAATACATGCAACTTGAACCATAAGCCATAGAATGTCTTTAAAAATAAAAATTAAAAAAAGTTAAAGACTTAAAAGAATAGTAAACACTGGACATGGTATATCCCACACAAGTTGATTCTGAGGAATAGTAACAGGAAGCACTTTTAAGTACCTAGAGGCGGCTCCGGTGAGATACCAATGCTTTGCAGCAAAGCCTCTGTCTCTCGTCGTTTGCGATCCAGATCAGAGTCATCCTGAACAGGTTCTTTCTTCTGCTGCATATCAGCCTAGAAGTAGACGTCAGTAAGAAAAGTTAATAACGTAACTAAATGCTTTTCCTGGCTGAAACTGAAAATGATAAATGCATGGCAGTGAAGACAAGGCAAAAGCCCTAAATAGATATAATCATATGTATAAAGGATGAATAAACACCATAATTGCTCCATTTAATAATTACTGGCCCACTACTTTCTCTTTTGGTTGAAGGCTTTTTCCTGCTTCTATCACATGGGATGAAAGTTTCTCTCACAGGTTTTGGAAGAGAAAACATCAAGGCAAAGTATTTCTGGCTGAGGACATAATATAAAAAAAAATATTCTGACTGTTTTTTTAGACCTCCTTGTCCCTTCTGGGGTATCAGTTATTGTGACTGTTTGTAATATTCAGGTCCCATGTTTGGGATTGTGCAAACCAGGAATTGTTGGGATCTTGCGGAAAAGTAAAACTATTTATGAAAATGTTTAACTGTAAAACACACTATTTGTATTGCTAAGACAAGTTTGCCGTGGTTTAAAATAAACTGGGCTAAAATCTGTATTAAGGCATGTGATCAATATTGATATGTCTTGGTACTTGATTCTAATTCTCACAGGATTCCATTATATATACTAACTGGAAGAAGAAAATTATCATGTAGAAAATATAGTACATCAAATCATTTACAAGAAATTCCTTTCACAAATTCTGTCTAAAGACACATTATGTTTTTCATACTGCCCTCCTAATGTCAGATCCTATGCCAGTTGGTGTTTTGACAGATTAGTGACAAATTAAAAGGCAGGTAAACAAGATATGTGGTGGGATTCTAGGGGAAATTTAAACATTCCAAGTCTCTTCTCTCTTTCATAATACAGTTATTACTTAAGATAAATTATTTGCTCCACATCTGAAACATGATAACATCATGTTGATGTGTAACTACCTCACAACAAAGCTTTGTGAGCTTACAGAAGTGAGGCTGTCTTAAAGCCTGTCAAAAAACATTTCGTTATGAGACATACCTTCTTCCCCAGGGGAAGCTGGGTAAGCTAACAAGTACATTACTTTCTTTGGGCATGTAGAATACATTTTGAAGCAGTGAAGCATTAGTTACACTGTAGTATCTATAAGCAGAAAGAGTTTATGCAACTTTTGACTTACTCCCAGAGGGTAACCTACACACTGATTATAAACTAAGTGTATCTTTGCACATGTCTCTGCACTCAACAATTCTGTTATTATTAACTTTGGGCTAAAGCATTCATATTTTTGAAGTCTATCTGTCATTAGAGGGAAGACTACCATTTGAAGGCCAGTAAGGGCTTATAAGAGTCCTAGAGTATTTCAGACATTCTGCGTAACCCAAAATTATGAAATGGCAGTTTAATCTCTTATCAGTAAAGATATCAAAGTTCATGTTCTTTTGCAATTTTAACATTTAAACTACCGAAGCAAGTCCCAAAGTTTATGTGTACAACAGAGGCAAAGATAGAACTAAGATGAGAAAAAAGATGTTGCAGAGTGAGGATCTGTATCTACTACAGAATCCTACTATGTTTTAATCATTCAACAAGCAGTGATTTTGTAGCATTAGTAATTAAAAATCTTCAAGGTGCCTTTCTCAGCAAGTGATATTTCTGTTTGTGTAGAGTAATCACAGCTGAGACCCAGAGAGGATAATCAAAGAAAGAAAAATTTGTCAACTGAGAATTGTTAATCACTTTTCCACACACATTTCCACATTTATTAGAGAAACATGTGAGGACGGGCCAGGAAACCCCTGGCCATTCTACCTCGCAGCAATTCGGCAAAAGGCCAAGGACAGAATGAAACTTCAGGGTGGCTCCCACTGAGCTCACCTCATTGCATTACAGCCAATTTTTCATGAAATTGGGCCAGTGTCTTAAATGGTGGCCATGATATTTATTTTAAAATCAGATTTCATCCATAATATCACAGCCAAGAAAGCAGTTGACATCCAAAAGAGCAGAGGGTGGTAATTTTACACAACATGGACACAGTTTTCTGAATTCTGTGGAGATAATCAACTTGGGTGGTCCTAATTCACACTAGTTTTTATATTCATGGCAAAAAAAGGGCACTCAGTTTAGTATTAAAGAGCATTTATTTTCTTTTTAATGTTAAATTTATTTGTTTTATTTAAAATATAAGCCTAAAGAAAGTTTATAAAAATCAAGGCTATTTAAATCTATTTCTAATTCTCTATAAACAACACAAAACTAGAAAATCTTAAACTCGGGAGTCAGTGACAGTGGCCAGTCGATATTCCATGGATTCAGGATCAGAAGTTTCCAAACAAATTTGCAGAATAGAACTCCAGATGCTTGGAAAGGATGTCTGGGACGTGCCTCACAAACCCTGACTAGTTCATATGTACATTTATTCACTCATTCATTCATTCTATAACTCCTTTTTGAATGCCTACCATATGGTAAAACCTATATTAGACATTGACTTAATGATTAAAAAACAAACAACAACAACAAAAGCATATAGCCCTGACCTTGAAAGCTTGCAATCTATTAGGAGAAAAAGACAAGTGAAGGGGAAAATATAACACCTTGTCCTAAATGGTTTGATAATGTCAATGATAGGATGCAGAACTAACCTAGTTATGAGGAAAGAAAGGTTTCAGAGGCAGCTTTCTGGAGAAAGTGACACAGGAGATGAGAACGGAAAGACATGCAGTTAACAGCCAGGTGAAGGACAGCCAGGTAAAGTTGACAGCCAGGTAAACTTAACAGCCAGGCAAAGGATGACAGGAAGAAGTAGATCAGTGAAAGCAGAGGAAAGAGAACATCCTAAGCTCTCTGTCAAGAAAGAATGTAGTCCATCAGGGCACATGTAAGCAGCTGCATCTGACTGGAATGTGGATTTTAGGGGGAAAAAAATGGGGGCGAAAAGAGAATCCTGTTATGCCTGTGCAGACCTGATGATCACTGCAAATTGGGGTAGGGGGTGGTGAAAGGACGACTTCAGGTTTCTGATCTGGAAAATTGGCTTGATGAGCCTTAGAGGTAGCTCCCTTTTATCTCCAGACTCCTTCATGTAATTGGAGATAAAGAGGGACTGCTGGGCCGGGCGCGGTGGCTCAAGCCTGTAATCCCAGCACTTTGGGAGGCCGAGACGGGCGGATCACAAGGTCAGGAGATAGAGACCATCCTGGCTAACATGGTGAAACACCGTCTCTACTAAAAAAATACAAAAAAACTAGCCAGGCATGGTGGCGGGCGCCTGTAGTTGCAGCTACTCCGGAGGCTGAGGCAGGAGAACGGCGTAAACCCGGGAGGCGGAGCTTGCAGTGAGCTGAGATCCGGCCACTGCACTCCAGCCTGGGCGACAGAGCGAGACTCCGTCTCAAAAAAAAAAAAAAAAAAAAAAAAAAAATGGGGGGGGGGACTGCCTCTAAGGCTTACACCTCTGCAGCCCAGCTTCCCTATGTGAGAAAGGATCAGAATAGATTTCTTCCAGATTCCTTTCAGCCACGAAATGCTCCAATCCCATGAAACTGGGGGCCTTGAATTTTAAGATCCTTCCAAAAATGGGGCATTTTTATAAAATGGCCTCACCAGCAGAGATCCTAAAAATGTATGCGACCATTCTGTGAAGCCCCATTCATCTACTCTGATAGCTGATCTCAGAAGCAGAATGACAGCTGTCTCTTACTGCTCTGGGATCTTCTCGAATCCTCTTGAATCTGTGAGGAAGACATCATTCCTTTTTCCATTTTACAGAAGAGGAAACAGGTTCAGAGAGGACCGATACCCATTCAGGGCCAGTCTGTGAAGGGCAGATCCAGGCTTCCCAGTCATGTTCAACTCAAAAGCCCATGTGCATAATCACTGTGTTAACTGTCTTCAGTCTTACAGCCCCAGCTGCTCAGAACCAACCAAGTCAGCACAGTTGCAGAGAGTGCATGGAAAGAACCAAGGAAAGATCTCTTTGAGGGGAGATGGATGGGAAGGGAGAAGATTTCAAGCCAGGAGAGATGTTAAAGACGATGTGGTCCAATGGATCCTAAAATCTGGCCCTGCTTCAGATCACTCAAATCAGAAACTTTGAGGATGGAAGACTCGGACTCTGTATTGCCATCTGACTCTGTGGAGCACAGTTCAGTTATCACAAGCTTCAATCACCATGTCACTTTAGACATGAGAAAATTAGGACTTCATATGATGTCAATCCAGAATGAGGCAGCAGCCAGGAATGTCTAGAGTCCAGGTGTTCCATACCCTCCACTACCTGCAGCCTCCAACCTTCCAGGGCTCTTCTTGCTGTGAAACCAGCTAAATCCTCACCAGGCAAAAGTGCTTGGTTGTAAAATCAAAAGGGGAGCCTGCTTCCATCAGTCCAGTGTGCCTGTAATTTCCCCAAAATGTGTAAAATGAAAAAGATGAAGCAGACAGCATAATTTGGAACCAAATTTCCCATATCACATCGCATTTTGTGGTAATTCTATGAAATTCAAGTTGGATATTAGAATGTCAGTTTAAAAGGAAACTGGTTATTAGTAAAGGATAACAGGTGCTTTAAAACTACAGTAAGTGTTGACATTTGAGGGAAAGGAAATATAATAACTTAATGCTTTTTTTGGCTTTGCATGGAAATGAATAGCCATTCCTTGTCAATTCTCACCTCTACTTCACTCAAAGACTGCATATGTAACAGCAAAGATCTCAAAGGGAAAAAACATTATGTGTGATGTCAAGGACAAACAAATGATCACATCAATCAATGCGTAATGGTATGGAGAGATGAGAGATGCCAGAAGGCTAAAATGCAACTGCAATTATCTTTTACTTTGTTGGAAAATAATAATTGTTATAAATCTGTTACCTTGGTCTCTCAGTCTTGTAGTATGAAACAACACTTATTTAGATTGTAAGGCATCAAAATAAGTTTTATTTTTCCTTACAGAAGAACTGCATAGGGAAGCAGCTCTGGTTTCTATACACAAAAGCATATCATACCACACGAAGTTTTTTCTTAGAAAACTATTCAAAAATATCTTTGGTATCTGGTTTTTGTATAAGATGTGGACTATTCCTACACTGCCACAACAAATTAGGGAACTAAAAATAAATTATTTGTTTGATTCACATAGTGGAAGAAAACGTGACATGACAACAAGGCATTGGATTGGGATTACAGAGTCCTAGATTCTAAGTCTAGAAAGCAGAAAAGCTACATTTCACCTCTGGGTCTCTGCTGCTTTGTTGGCATAAAGAGGGGCCTGAACGGAAAGTCTCTGAAATTTCAGCCAGGTCTAACATGTAATAATTCTTTGTACTGTATGTACTATCCTATCTACCTTCTCACTAAGAGAAGGACAGCCTTCCCCTTACTAAACCTAAGATGCTTATTTACCATTAAAAAATGTACACCACTTGGGAAACAATGGAAATCCACTGGCATAGTTTTCTAATTTTCTGCTAAAATGTTCCTGCTGGTAGATTTTTCAGAAAAAAAAGAAAAACCTTTTCTTAAAACTAACATTTATTAAGTACTAACTATATTCTAGGTACTGCTAAGTACAGCCCCACAAAATAAATGTATTATTGTTCTCATATTAAAAATAGAAAACTGAGGCACAGAAAGGTTAAGAAGTTTCTAACAATAACAAGATCACAGACCACCCTTAGAATTCTGTTTAAGTCTGTGATGAACCTGGAGTTTGGAGGCCTCTGGAGCCTCTGGATCAAATGTTATCCCCCATTTAGGTGATGGCTGACCAGTACATAGCAGAAGGTAACAACTCTATCATGCAGAATAGGGACATAGTCAATCATTTTATTCCAATATCATAAAAGGATTCTTTTAGGGGGTCCTATTTATCCATTTGACCAGCCCCTCAGAATCAAGTGATCTTTCTTTTTCCCCCACAACACCCCAACACCCAGGATTTACCTCTTTCTTTTTCCTCTCCTCTTCCTTCCGTTTCTTCTCTTCTCTTATCTGTGCTAAGCGCTGCTTTTTGCGCTCTAGCTCAGCTTTTAAGTCACTTTTGTCAGACATGTTGGTTTCCTTGGAGAAAGAGAAAAAAAAAAGTGAACATATATAAAAATAACTTTTCTGTATATCATTGCAAAAATCATTTGAAAGAAAATGCAATTTGAAAATGTGACTTTTGGGTGATCAACAAGAGGTTGTATTATTTAGCCTATGTGAAAGAATCAAAGAAACAAATTAAGTTAGATCTGGTTCAAGGATATAAAATATTTCCCTTTTAGGTATATATACATAAATATCTGAAGAAATACAAGGTTATTATCTGGCCTAAGCAAGGATAGCAACTTCCAGATAATCAACACATTTTCTGTACAAGTTTCTTAACAAATAAACAACAATAAATAAGAGAATCAAAAAAGAACCATCATCATGACTTCCAATTTAGATGATAATGGAGCAATTCATTCCCACACTGAGAAAAGAAAATAGGCTGTCATAAACCCTTAGAGACGTGCCCTGCTCAAATTTCTATGGACTCAATAAACATTCCTCCACTGAGCTAGGACGCATGGAGATTTCATTTTGCCTAACGTTATTTGCATCAGGGAAGACAGCTGCTGAAGACCTAACATGTTAATCTTCTTTCTCTGTAAAACTCCTGAAGTGTCACCGTTAATTTCATCTCCAACACAACCCTATTTCTATAAAACTTTCATTTGCATTCTGAATGTAATATTGCTTATTCTGGCACTTTCCCTTTCCAAAGCAAAGGGTGTTTGTGAGCACATGAAATGGGAGATAACACCATGGCAAGTTCTTAGGAAATTTTATCCAAACAAGATTTAATTTTAATGTTCATCATGGTGACGGTGCTGGTAGTGATGGTGCCAGTAACATTTTTAAATGAAATCAGTTCGAAGAAGACTCTTACTAATTACCGATGATTATATATTTGAGCCTTTTGTGCTCCCAACTGAAAACTAACAAAATGGAAACCTTGAGAAATGAAGGGCCGCCCTCGCCCAATTTTCTAAAATAATGGGGAAAAATTGACTAACCATAAATGTCATGAGTATTCATTCGCATACTATTTGCATGCAACTAGGATAAATATATAATGTATCTTGAAGTAGATTACAGAGCAATGGAAGGCAAAACAAAACAAAACAAAACAAAAAAACAAACAAAAAAAACCACACACACAAAACCCAAAGAATACAGAACAATGAAAAATTCTCAATTTTTTGTCATTGTCCCCAGAAGGTAATCATGAATCTGCAGTCACTCTAGGACACACTTTCAGACAAATAAACAAGTTGGGAAATCCACTGTGTTTCTACTATACACATTTCTGATCACAGTGTGACAGCAGAGATTTGTGAAATAATCAGAATTATTGCAATAACCAATCTCTGCCATTCATGATCATATTCTTTCTTCATTTTTCAACAAATATTTGCTGTATTTAATCGGTGCTAGGCACTTTATAATGAATAGGGATCCAAAGATAAGCAAAACCAGATTCTCTCCTTCAAAGAGTATATAGCTCAAATTTGTGGACATGCAGTGTGGATAGAGATGTTCTCTGAGATACTGGCTTATTGATTACTCAGTGCCAGGCCCTTGACATCATTATCACATGTAATCATATCAACCCAAGTACACCAGTATTATTATTAATTCCTTTTCATAATTAAGACAAAGGAGGTTCAGTAAGAACTGAGACTGCCTAGCCAATAGATGGCAGAATCTAAATTCAAGCTTGCCCGTTCTCTGACCTACTACATATTTGTGATCCCCAGTGTACAAGTTCAGAGGAATGCAGAGCAAAATGATAATCAAGGTCTGGTGGAGTATGCCAGGGGAAGCATTGAGGAGTAGGTAGAATTGGGACTGGGTATTAAATGAGGTCAGAACTAGCAAAGGAAGGGCATATTTGGATGTGTGAAGACCTGTCAAAGAAGGAACTCACAGATTGAGTGCAAGAGATGTGGGTAAATTCAAGTTAAGAAACAGAAAGTTGAGGCCAGGTGTGCTGGTTCATACCTGTAACCCCAGTGCTTTGGGAGGCTGAGGCAGGAGGATAGCTTGAGGCCGAGAGTTCATGGTTACCGTGAGTTATAATCATGTACTGCACTCTAGCCTGGGTGGCAGAGTGAGACTCTGTTTTAAAAAAGAAAAAAAAAGTTTAATTGGTAAGAATGGATATGTTGAGGCAACCTGGAAAGCCTGGACAAAACAGAAAATTGAGTTATATTTGGTGTAATGGGTGATGGGCAAACATAGCAGATTTTTGAAAAGAAAAGTGACAAAATAAAAATGGAATTTGCTTAAGCCTATTCTTGTCCCTGCCTGTATAACAGACTGGAGCAAAAACTAGAAATAAGGCAAGCTGCTGGGAAACTAATGCCAGCTTCTCTCTGATTCAACTGTACCTGTACAGGGATGGTAGGCAAATGTGGAGACAGAAGTAGAGAATGTGCACTAGGGAGAGCTCAGCCAAGAGGGACCAAGGAACTCTTAGTAGCCTTTAAATATGGAAGCAAAAATGGAAAGTCCAGTAACAATTCGACTTTGAGAAGGCAAAGGGGATGGCAGTGAAATTAGGAAGAGAAGACAAAGAGGAAAATGGTGAAAAAACCTTGCAACATGTATGTCATAATTTGGGTATCAGTGGAACTTCTGGGCAGAATGCACAAATACAACACTACAGATTGGGGGAGAGGTGGGATGGGGGACTGAAGTTAAGGAATAGAGTTTGGAGTCATCCCCCTACAAAGGGCTGTTTAAACAGAAGATGCAATTCAAAGTCTTAACAGAGCCAAGGGAGTAATTGAGCAAGCAGAGCCGTGACTGAGGGCCAGCCAGAGAGGAAATGCCCGGTCCACAGGAGGTAGCTCCACCAGGTCCGACTGAGGGTCCACATGGAGGGACACAGGCCCACGAAGTTAGATCTTCTGATATTTTTCTTTCCAAGAGAAGTTGTAGAACTTCACAAAAGTGAAGTTTATCACTAAAATACAGGTTGCCAATAATTTTCAACACCAATGGGTAAAATTCCTGACAGGAATTCCAGAAGTCATCTGAGAAGTTATAAACACCATTGACGAATGAGGGTCCATCTAACTAGTGTGCTGGAAATCTTTTGGTAGTCAGAAATGAAATGTATGACCAGAAAAATCACTGTTAAAGCAATAGCTGTTTCATTCTAAGCTGAAAGCAGCCAGGAGAATCTTCTTAGAAAATGTGAGTTTTCCCCTCCTCCACATTTCCCCAACTTTTACTTGACCTTTCCCCAACATTTTTTTACCTTTCTCCAATTCATCAAAACTGTCTGGTACAACTTCAGCAATATTTATTGTCATTAAGGAGCAAAACATAATATAAGAAAGTCTTGTATTTGTTATGATTTTCTTGCAAAGAATTTCAATCACAAAAGGGAAGTAAAATGTATTCTCAGAAAATTTCTGCAAAGTACAAAGGCTTTCTTGCAAATAATAAACATGTCTTACAATGTTGATCAGTTAAGTTGGAATTCCCAGCCAGAGAGTCAATATTTTAAAAATAACAACAAAAACATTGAGGCAATTTTTTTAAAAAGATTATATTAGGTAGTGATGATCCAAATAATTTAAGTCTTTAAATGCAGTAGGTTACAATGCTAGAAGACACAACTGTAAATGGCCTTCCATTTATTGATTTTTTGATCCATTCCAAAATAGATGCTTAGTATCAACCCCTAGGAGAATAAGGAATCTCAAGAGAATGCCTCATAAAGGGTTTGGAAAGTACACATTATAGTGAATGAATGAGCCTTTACACATAGTAAAATGGCTTAAATAGTAGCATTAAATGCAGTGTCAGCACTGAACTCCATAGGATTTCCTGGGGGGCTTGCTCCTCTAACCCACTAAATCTCCCTGCACATCAAATAAAGCAAATCAAGGAGCAAAGCATGAGGGACATGAGTTATAGAGATTCCTGTGGCTGATGCAGGTTATTGCCAAGGCAATTCTGATGCACTCAGTCTAAGAAAATAAGAGTCAAAGCTACCTGCTGCTAATTATTGCTCATTTACCTCACACACATAAAAAGCTGGTCTCTCATTTACAAATGGCAAGGGATCAAGTGGGTAAATCAAACCCACCTCTGGGTATAGGGCTCCTCCCTGTCTGATCATCTGCATGTTCTACCACACACCAACCAACTCTGGGCTTGACTCCACCTAGACTTAGGAGGAATCACAGTTCAGTCTCTCCCCAGCCCCATCCACTGTGATCAGTTGCACTTTTTACCTCCTGCTGAGCATCCTTGGAGCAGAGTCCCATATTCAGAACTCTTTTTCCATCGGTGGCATCTCCTCTTCCTCACTCACTTTCACCCACCTTCATTGCCAAATTCACACTTCTTACCTCCCTCCACCCCCGCATCACAGCCCTTGTTCTCCTGCAAACCCTCCAGCTTTACTATCACTGAATACAATCCCCATTCCACCCCTCCTCTTTCTTTGTCAAGCCAAGTTATACTCACCCCAAAACAGATGTCTCAAAGTTCAAATCAGTTACCACATTTACCCTAGACTCCACACACCAATCCCTAGAGCCTGCTAGCTTTTTTTCAAATTTCAGCTCTCTACTGATTTCTCTTTTGTTCCTTGATTCACCCTTTATCCTCTGCTTAGTGTTGTCACTACAGCTCGTCTCCACTCATCCTCCCAAATGTCTCAGTTCTGATCACTTTGGCTTCAGCACATCTCTGATCTAGTAAGCTGTCATTCTTTTGATCCAAATACATGAGTCAATAAAAGTAAAGAGCTAAAAATTATGCCTGGCAAATACTAAACACCCAAGAAAAGTTGTTTCTCCTTCTCCTCTTTCTCCCCTTCCTTTTCTATTATTATTACCATTAGTTTACCCTGCCCACTCTTGCCCACATCACCAATTGCACCCTAATTCAATAACCAAGTCATCACTCCAAGTTCACTGCAATCATTTAAAAAGTGTTACTGTGAGAATTACATGAAAGACATGGGACATTACTAATTTAATAACAATGCATTTAAAGTAAGGAAATCCAGTCTGTGTTCCTAGCCATTCTAAAACACTTCAGAGCAAGTAGAAGGAGTTTCTCTATCTAAATGAGTTATAAAATGGAAGGCATGTGGGAAAAGGGATGTGACTCAAAAAAAAAAAAAAAAAAAAATCAAAAAACAAAAAACACCTTTTTAAAAAATTAAGTGTAGTCATTTAGCTTAACAGTAAAAAAAAAAACCTTCTCAGTTTTTTCTTTTGAACATAAGAATTACATATCAAGCTGTCCCCAGCAGACATCCCCTGCACTTTACCCACTTCCCCCGGAGGATATGAAGACATGGTTTCTTCTCTAGTTAGGAAGTTAGTTATAGCGAAGGTCTCTCCTGCTGTTCCATTATACAAATGGCTCATGGTCCTAAGTTTCTTTTCTATTCTTTTTTTTTTTCTGGGACAGAGCCTTGCTCTTTCACCCAGGCTGCAGTGCAGTGGCACGATCTCAGCTCACTGCAACCTCCACCTACTAGGTTCAAGCAATTCTCCTGCCTCAGCCTCCCAAGTAGCTGGGACTACAGGTGCATGCTACTGGGCCCAGCTAATTTTTGTATTTTTTTATAGAGACGGGGTTTCGCCATGTTGGCCAGGCTGGTCTTGAACTGCCAACCTCAGATGATCCTCCTGCCTGAGTCTTCGCTGGGATTAAAAGCGTGAGCCACCACACGCGGCCCCTCAGTTTCAATAGAGGAAAAAATGGGGAGAGGAGGGAGGGAGGCAAACATGAGAGAGAGAAATGTGGATACTGAGGAGGGAGGAAATAAAACTAAAATCAGTTTCACCTCTTCCCTTGCCTTGCCAGGTTCCCCTACATCTCCTTTACATTTCTTATGTCTGCACATATCCATAGAGAAAGGAAAGTGTCCAGCTTTTCTCAAACCCAACAATGATATCTATTGCCTTCATTTTTATTTCTGCACGTATCATCATGGCACAGTTTGGTCCTATTTAGAACCAAGTGTCTAGCAGAGGAGATGCAAAGGGTTTAGTTCTGTTTACACAGCTGCTGAGTAACAGCACCTCCGAAGGCTTAGCTTTTGAACAATATAGATCTCTATTTCCTTTCGGTTGTCTAAGTTGGCAGCCGTTTGGGATTCCATTCCTAATGCTGGCATATGCAAATGTATTTTTAAGCTTAAAGTTGTAACCCTAGGAGGTTTAAATCATTGCCCAGCTGTTGCCAGACTTATTGAGAAAATACCCAGAAATAAGTTCTCTTTTCCTGCCTGAAAACAATTGCTCTTGTCAGCTCTTCACTATCATGTATTGAACTTTTCATCTGCCACTGAATACGTGTAAGAAATTTGATCTTTCACAGCCCCATTTCACCTGCTTAGTGTCTCATAAAATGCAGCTGCCTCCTTCCACTTGAATGGGAGGCCAAGGGATGATACAGACGACAACCATGAGCCCATTTTGACAGCTATAGCTCAGTCAAAAAAAAGAGGGTGATAGACATCTCAGGAGGGAGTTGGCTGGTGAAAGGAGGGTTATTTCCTACATTTTTACAGCCATCAGTACACTATGAAAACAAAATTTTAAATAAAATCCATCTTATAGTAGGACAATGCTCAGGACTGTTCTACTAACACCACAGAAGAGCAGTTCTCAAACATTTTTATTTCAGTACCCTGTTATACTCTTAAAATGTATCAAGAACTTCAAAGAGCTTTGGTTTATGTTTTTATGTAGGTTATCTAGTAACATTAATCATGTTAAAAATTAAAACTGATAAAACTAAGTATTTATTTAATAATTTATTTTAAAGTAACAACATACATGTTATTAACATTTTGTGAAAAACACTACAATTTCCAAGACCAAAAAAAAAAAAAAAGTAAGATGAGTGTAATGCTTTTACATTTTCACATATCTTTTTAACATCTGGTTTAATAGAAGTCAAATGCTGTCTTATAGCTACTTCTGCATTCAATCTGTTGTGACATGTTATTTTAGTTGAAGTATATGAAGAAAATCTGGCCTCAAACAGATATGTAATCTGAAAAAGGAGGAATATTTTAACAGCCTCTTCAGGTAATTGTGGATATTCTTCACTATTACACCAAAAGTCAACAAATA